TTGGAAGTAACTTCCCATCAAAATGTTTCTTTGGGTAGTTTTACCAAAATTAGTGAAATTGACTATTATGCCCACTTCCTAAAAATTCACACCTTTCTTTCATGCTTTATTTTAATCCCTTCCCTCTTCCATGCTTTCATGATACTCATGTAAATTATAAGTATCACTCTGCTTATTATTGTTATGAGATTCACACTGCTCAAATACAATTTAAACAAACCAGATTTAAAATGTTCATACAATATTTTTAAGTAAAAGAATTCATTTTTTTAAAAAAGATTGACAATTAAAAGAATATATTTATTTCAGATTCCGTAAAATAATTTTTTTAAAAAAATTGAAAATCAAAAATTAATCTAAATCATTTTTTTATTAAAAGGCAATTTTATCAAAAAGATATAGATAAACAGAAAAATTATTTAAGTAAAGCTCAAAACAATTAGTAAACAGAGGTCAACCCAACATAAAATAAAAGATAACAAAACAAAAAGAAAGTAAAAACAGAGTAGCCCTTAGATCTCAATATAACCATTTAAATCAGTTCTGGAAAAGGCACAATAGTGATAAGCTCTTAGTGTTCAATACTTCGATTAGCACCCTGCCAGAACCACCACCAGCCAAGTGATGAACTTCTCACCCCACCACCACCCTCCCTCTTCTATGACCATGACCCCCACCAAAGGCATCACCATTAAAGCTCACAATTTCTGCAACCATCTTACAAGGGTAGGGTTTGTGTAATTGTGTTGAAGCAACCATCGATACCAACCATTGAAGCCCGTGGATGATTCTTGTCCTTGTTGCAAACTCCATCAAGCAAGATCTAAGTTTTTCGGGTCTCTCTAAATTTGATGCTTATGATTTCTATGTTTAATGATTATTCTTATTCTTTTTTCATGGAAACTGCTTCTTGGTGGATGCTTTGGGCTTTATGCCGTAGCAAAGTGATCTCAGAGGTCTTCGATGATGCATGGTGATAGTTTTGGACGATTGAAGTTTTGAAGAGATCCTTTTTTTTTTTTAATAAAATCATAAGGATATTTGAGTCTTTTCATAATATAAATACGCTTATAATCAAATATTAATGTTATCTCTTGCCCTTAATATATTATCCAAAGGCTAATTTTTAAAGATTAAAAAAGATAAATAAATTAGTTAATTATAGAATGTGCAATATTGCATGAGGTTTCTATAATCATACTTGACAAATTTCAGAAGCCAATTGTTATTTAGGTTTTTACTTTTAATTTCGTTTCCATAAAAAAAAAGAAGAGAAAAACACTTCTAATATTATCAAACGGCTCATTTTTATTTCCAAACGGCCACCTAAGTGAATACTTTTATCTGTCAACTTTTAATCATTAATCACTGATGTGATCCCATAATATGTTAATTAAGGAGTCCATATGCCGACCTATACATTAATTGAAATGGCTTTGTGGATTTATCCATTACTCAAGTTTCCCACACACACGAGTATTTTAATCTAAATATCTCTGCCAAGTGTCCTAAACAAGATTTGGGTCTTTCAAATCATTGGAGCCATTCAAACAACTTTTGTTTGAATCAATATTCTCTGACACATATGAATGAACACGTGTCCCCCGGTCTTATTTAGTGTTGTCCAAAGTTTGCAATCTATATAACCTGATAAATATAGCCGACTCTATGATAAGACTTTTTTCCCCCCTAAAGTATAGGTATCGTTGTATCAGAGACAATTTTATTCAAGATATTGTGATACCTCTTCTAGTAGAGATTTGAACTTTAGTTCGTCACGTTGTGAGAGACTAACCTTTTCTGTTAAACTTAACCCTGTTGGTATAAGATTTATTATTATGATTTTATTGTTATTGTTTTAAAGTCGCGATTTGTAAACAAGTCTTGGTCAATATTTGTATGTTGGATATATCGACTTGGTTAATAAACTTCACTTACCAGTCATCATCCATCCATGGCCCACAACATGAGATTAAATTAAAAATTAGCAAGACTTCAATGATTTAATGCTTATCCTTACCTAATTATTCTTGTCTGTTCCCACAAGGCAGACGAACTAATTCTATACTCTATCAAAGTTTATTTTTTGTCCATTATTGCTTTTTCTAAATATTATAATTAGTGGTGGATGTATTTAAACTTTGGCACCAAATTCCTTCCTCTTCAGTGTATTCTATCACAGAAACAAAATGAAGTTTGGTTTGAACTATAGATGTTTCAGGGTCCAATTCTTTCAACTTGGGATCCGAAATTACTAGTAATCACAAATTATAAATTCATCACAAATCGGTAAAAAATACCAAAATAAACAATCATATTCAATTCAAGTTGACATCTTTATAATTGAAGGTTGTGCTTGATTGTTCTCCAAGGTTGGCTTCTAACTCAGACCCTTGTTTTTTTCTTCCTGACCTCATGCTCTTTTTCATGATCTACAACAGTATGAGTAAAAAGATTTTCTTGAATTCCTTTTTTTCAAAAAAAAAAAAAAAAAGACTTTCTTGAAAATACAAGGAAGCCAAGGAGGACGACAAAGTAGTTGAATCAGTAATCTGTTTCTCTTTATTATTTTGTTCCCAAAGACACAAGAATGATATTCATACTCCATCTATTTTCTATTTTCCTTCCATTCGTACCTAATGTACCAAACATAACATATTCTCTCAATTCCTCGGCCTGAAACAACAACTACCCTTTGCCTTTTTAGCAACCAACTGGTCTGCATCGTAGAATTTAAGTTGTTTATCTGCAGCAACAGAAGTCCAAGACAAAAACTACCCCAATAACTGTCCCTCCTCAAAGTGACACATCTGGGATCGAAGATCTGAACGTTATTCTCATCGTGATTGGTAGCTTTCTTGTTAAGTTCATTGCAATAGCTGCAATGGAGGATCATTTTGTAATCCATGTAACATACAGCATCGGATTTTCAGAACACAGCCTGCGATTTTAAAGAGAGAGGCACATACGTCATTGACTTTTTCCTCCATTTAAAGGGAAACCGCAGATATTTCCTCCTGTCTTAAATATTATGTGCTGCATATAGTTGTTGCGTGCTGTGTTAGAAGGTCAATCGTCAAATGCTGCCAGCCATATATTCTCTTTACAATGCTTCTACGTGAAGCTTTAAAGAAGATTTCCAGTAGTCCTGCCACGTTCTCAAGAGTTGCAACCCTCTGATGGTACTTCTCTTACTCTAGCAAAGACTTGCTACTTCGGTGGAGTGAATGTGATCATACCTTTCCTTCAAGATAGTAAGCAGTAAGAGGAGGCAGCATATGGGGAAAATTTATAAACAGAATAAATTCCAACTACTTTGCATGGGTGCAAGGGATTTAGATAGAATGATATAAAGAAGTAAAATCCATACATAGTAAAAGAAGCTCGTTTTACCATCCCAATATCCAATTAAACCGTGATGTAGTATCAGGAAAAGCAAGATTTTTTTTTTTGGGGGGGGGGGGAATTTTATACATGTATTCCCATATCACTGGAAAGAGATTTGAAATGGGTCAGAAAGCAAAAGAATTGATATTAAAGGAAGAAAGCTAAGAGTTAACCAAAGAAGAATTTACATTGGATCTTTACTGAATCCAAGAGCTTGACCAACATGCAGGACCAAATTATAGCCAAAGCTCACTGAAATTGAGGAAGAGACTTTGCACACAGATGCGGCGATATCAACTAAGGTGCTCGTAATCTACGAACATCTCTGTAATAGACATAGTTGATATAGTTTTTATATTATAGGCTTTCATGCAGCTAATAATGCACAGTATTTGAAAACTGAAAAGTCCAATCTATTATCTAGCCAACTTAAGAGAATAGACTGGACTCATCTTTGATGGCGACGAGAAATACATCAATGATGCTGCCATGAGAACAAAAACCAGAACAATATTATGTCCACCAATAATATTAATGGCCCTGGTAGCTTGGTACTGAAAGTTGTGAGAGCAAGTAGACATAGTTGCCCTTTTAATCTTAAATGGTCCTTGACGTGGAATTAAACCTTCTCCAGGCAAATCGTCAAAGTTTGTTCTTTGCCACCCTCCTTATTTAAAATTAAGCTTCAGTAAAGTACGGTGAGCCAGTGCATTGTCCACATTTCAAGCTCAAAGGGCTTCTGCTTGAAGGAGCACCCTAGAGAGTAGAGATATTAATGAAAACCATTGTGACCTTCACTAATTAGCTTAAGCTTCTGAGTAAAAATGTTCTTTTACAAATCTTGCAAAACAGCAGCACCCACGTCCCAAATCTTCATAAATCTCGCTCTTGAACACATTGTTTTTGGACATTTATTACAGGAATGATATGAACCATTCAAATGTGACATCTGCTCTTGACCAAAAATCAAAGATCCATGATTGCCAAGAAAACCATGATTCTCATAAATTTGAGTGGGAATAGATGACACTGAGGTACCATTATTTAAGCCGTTGCAGCAACAGATTATGGATCTCCTAACCATTGTTGACCTTTTATCTGCTGTTCCCTGGAAAGCGAGTGGCCCTTTTGAACTCTGGATAGTCTTCATCAGGCACTTTGACATTTTCCTCCAGATAGACATAATGATTGTGACTGCTCTGCCATTAGCGCATTGAAGGATAAATAAAAGAACCACATGATATAACCTAAAAACCAACCAAAAAAAAAAAAATCCAATTCCCGAGTGCATCTCCATTCCAGATGATCAACATACCTCATCATAACTCCTAACCTCCTATTGTTAGTTACCAACTGGTACTTACATATTTTTTGTTTCTTATTAATTTCAAGTAAGCATTGTGACCAAAGATGGAAGATGAGCCTCAAGGCTATCCCACCTTGACATGATAGTCTCTCGAGATAGGGTCCCATCTCGTCAGATTCATAATAGAAGTAATGTTAGTTGCACAGCCTTTTCTTATCACAATTCTCACAACTAGCATGTGACTAGATAACCTCACTTAGAAAGTGTCAAGTATGATCATTTGTATTCAAATTTAGTCTCTTGTTAAATTTGCACAAGTATTACTCAAGAAAGACAAACAAGTCATTTGCAAATGGATCAATATAATAAATAGTGCAGAACCATTCCCTTATGAAAACCTTAATAGACATCTTTGACCCTAGAAATGACATTCTAGAGAGACCTAATTGAACTTGATATGAATAAACCTTAGGAAACCTCAGGCCAACCCAGTCAAAGTAAATATAGATATCATGAGAAGGATAACCATTGAACAATCAAGATAATACAAACCACAATAGTGACGGTCAGAAAGATAAGACCTGTAATTAAATAGTTAGTGAATTGAAAATTGGCTTCAGGTAACAAAAATCGATTGCAAATCCATTATTTTTGCTTTCCATTTAGAAGAATTGTGTATCAGTATTAGACAAGGTTCATTCAAACCTGATAGGATGCTCTGATCAAAACTTGAGATTATGCCCAAAAGCCCGTCAAGGCAAAGTATGTGATCAGCAAATCCCTTCTTCAACCATCCTTTCTCTTAATGTAGAGGCTTCAGTAAAATCACCAGTTCTGCAGTATCCATTCATCATTATTTTATAAGTAACAACATTAGGAACCAACCCTTTTTGAGGAAGCTTCTGGAAAAGCCTCTGTGCTCTATCCATATTCCCTGACTTGCACAGCCCATTTATTAACGCATTATATGTAGTAATATTGGGAACAAGATCTTTCTCCTGCATCTCGTCTCTCAAGTTGAAAGCTTCATTCACATTGCCATCAACTGAGTGGGCATGAATTAAGGGACCATATGTGAAATTGTCTGGAAGAAAATCTCTCAGTAACCAAGCTGATAAAACGTTTCTTGCTTCCTTAACTTTCCCAGATTTACAAAGTCCTGCTATAGTTATGTTGTGCAAGACATTATTGGGTTTGGAAAGATGATAGCTTATAAAACTTCTATCAAGAGAATCAGCAATTTTCTCAGTTTCTATACTAATGATATCAGTTTTGAGAAATTTCGGGGAGCAATTATGAACTGTAAGAAGGTCAAAATCTACCATCTTGTCTAGGAGTACGGTTGCTTCATTGATTCTACCAAGCTTATAAAGGCTACTGACAATTTTGCTGCAGACTACCAAATTGGGAGAGAACCCCCTATTAATCATCTCAAAATATACACTAAAGGCTTTATCGAATATACCTTCATTGCACCAACCAGCAATAAGGGTTCCATAGGTGATAATATTAGGAGATAATCCTCTGCTCTGCATCTCAGCAAGGAGATCATTGACTTTGGTTGGCTTCCTAGACTTGAAAAGTCCATTAATAAGAGAATTATACATTTCAATGGAAGGAGAAAGTTCTTGTCTCTCCATCACGTCCTTAATTTTAAAAGCTTCTATGACACTACCAATTTTACAATACCCATCACTCAGAGTCCTGTACGTCATTTCATCTGGTGAACATCCAAGCTCCTTCATTCTGCTGAAAACTGCCTCTGCTTCCACTACCTTACCCATCTTACATAAACCACTGATCACTGTATTGAAACCAACTTTGCTCTTGGTAAATCCCCTCCCTAACATGTCTTTCCATAGCATCATAGCGCTATCTGAGTCTCCCATTTCAAAGAAGCAATGAAGCAGAGTACAGTAACTGACTTCATTTGGAGTCACACCCCTTTGTAGCATTGAATGCCAAAGGCACAAAGCATCATCATAACAACCAGCACGAATTAACCCCTTAAGAATAATATTGTAAGTGACGGGTAATTGAGTAATTCCATCTCGCCACATCTCCTCACAAAGCATAAAAGCCTTGCTTATATGTCCTTCCCTGCAATAACCGTCTAATAATGTATTATAACTATAAGAATCTGGCCTTAGCTTCCAATCCCGGATCTGGCAAAAGACTTCTTCTGCTTTGCATACTTGGCCATGCTTGCAGTACCCTTTGATCAAGGAGTTGCAGATAAATATATTCATTTTCAAGCCTCTTTTTAACATCTTATCTCGGGTCCTAATGGCATCATCCATTTTGCCTATTTGACAATACCCATCCAGCAGTACGCCATACACACGTTCATCCACTACCAGCAAGTCATCCTCCCCTAGGCCTTCAAGCACCTTCTCTGCTTCATCCATCCTAGATCGCTTACAGTAACCTTTTATCAACAAGGTGAAAGTAACCACATTTCTTGAAACACCTCTTTTAGACATCAAACTCAATGCTTTTTCTGCCCCTTCTATATCTCCCTGGTTTACATGCCCATGAAGCAAAGCGTTGTAAGTAACAACATTTGGTTCAAATCCCATCTTCCTCTCCATCTCTTCCATAAAACAAAAAGCCCCCGCCACTCTTCCGTCCTGACAATAAGCATTCACCATAATTGTACACATAAAAACATCAGGCACAATATCTAACCTCATCATCTGATCGAAAACGAGTAACGCCGTGCTACACTCACCATTCTTAACCAATTTACTCAACAAGCAATTGCAGGACCTCAAACTGGGGATACGACCCCACTTGCCCATATTATCTAAAACATGTAAGGCATACTTTGTCATACCCTTCTCCGAATATACCTTCAAGATCATATCAAAGACAGTTGGAGAAAACGAGAACTCCCTATAAACTGCAACAATCTCATCCCAAACAACAACTGCCCAGTAATTATTCTTACAGTAATTCACCACCAATTCGTTCAAGAAGACCCTGGTCTCGTCGTACATTCGCGCTCTAGCCAGTATGTGAGCAATCTTGCAGTATGACTTGACATCGGGTCTGTAACTCTGCTGCTTGCAAGCGAACTTAAAGAATCTCAAACACGCAGTGGGGTTAAGTTTGAGCCTGCGGAGAACAGAGTCCATGAGCTGGTCGGAGAAGTGGAAGGACAGTTGCTGTAGAGCCCGGAAACGATGGAGAACGAGGAGGCGACAGATTCGGTCGACCAATTCGGTCGGAGGAAGCTTGTACTCGTCCCGAAGCTTCCATTGGAGAGAACGAGAGAGGTGAATGGATTTCTGCGAGCGGAAACGAGGAAGAAGGCGACCCACATTGTCGCGGAGGGTCCGAAACATGGAACAGCGTTACAGAAGGAAATGGCATATTGGCATGTTTGCTGACTCTCTTCATGTTTCAACCAAGAATTATTGATAGTGATTTTTTTTTTTACCTTATTGATAGTCATGTTATAAACTAGTAAATTTTTAATATTGATATTATAAATTATTAAACATGTAAAGTAATATTTGATCAAACAATTTTTAAAAAATTAATTAATTTCTTAACGATATCACTACTTTATATATATATATATATATATATATCTTTCTAAAAGTTACGTAAGGATTTTCATGCCACTACTATGACATCTGCCGATTGACCATTCTATTTAGATGTTATATATTGGGAGAATTAGGAAAAAAAATTACAAAATAAGTTCTGAAAGTTGTCATCCTTCTGTAATTATTTGAGATTTTTTAATAATTATTTTTTTTCCTTAGTTGTAATTCTTCTTATATTTTTTGCCAACAAAAATATATATTCTTGAAAATACAAGAATGTCATTTGCAGTCAATTTAGTTTAGCTGATAAAATTGCCCATCATAGCTCCCAAATTGTGGATTTAAATTTTGCTATAAGCCCCCAGAGCGCATCAAAGCAGATCAGCTTTTTTCCTTTGTAGATGTTGGGCTAAACTGTGGGCTAATTTTGGGCGTGGATCTGGCCCACATTTTTTTTAACTTGTTGAAATGTATTGGGCCTTCTTTTAATGATGGGCTGGGTTGTGTTTGAGTAGTTCGCTTAAACTTATAAATAATTATGACTTATTTGATGATTAATTCTAATCCAAGCTAAAATAATTAATTATAACTCTTTGGCCAAGAGTTTTGTGGTCTAACGTCGTGAAACTCGCCAAATGTACTTTGAGAAGCTGACTAGCCTAATGGCATGAAAACTTTTTTACAAGTAAAAAGTATAAACTCTATCGCACTCACAACTTTAGCCTGTAAGTGTTTATGTCTTAATGATGAAAAAAAAAAATCCTATGAGAGGATTCAAATTAAATTTGACGATTTTTTTAAATATAAATTGAATATATGTTATTAAAATTTAATCTAAACACTTTATAAAGATAATAAAGATATAGTCAAGAGCAACAACGAAGGGGAGAAAAATTTTAACCTGAAAAAAATTCCCCTTTTGTGTGTGTATATGCTATGGTGTAATTTGCTTGTGATTATTGAAATATCAACATGTAGGAGACAATTACTTTACTTTATCAGAACTCTGTGTTTTTTTAAGTAAGCCAAAATGATATTAAGAATAACGCACAATTATATATTACTAGCAACGTGTTTTTTTAGTCTTAAATACTAAATAACTAGTGATTAAGAATTAATAATTATAATCACATTGATAAACTCTTTTGGTCCTAAATAGAAAATCTATTTTACAATGTAATTTATGTTATTAAATTGTAAATATAATATTTATTTTGTAGTATAATTATCTTATATTTAAAATCAGAGTAGTACATGGGACACAAACAATGTGGCAGGAGAAGCTTGAGAGAGACAAAATAGAACTTTCTTCTTAATGAAGAAGGTAGTAATCACAGAACTAGAGATTTCCTATGCGAAGAATCGCATCTCTTTGCTTCTTTGTTTTAGTTACTCTTCAGAATTTTTTTCTTAATAAAAATTATGTTAAAATTATTTTTATAAGAATGCATTTTTTTCTGAGTTTCAAATTATAATATTACAGAAAAGCTTTTCCAACTTTATTTATTTGTTTACAATATTTGAATACCAAATCTTACTCAAAGAATACTAATAATGAGTCCTTAGAAAATTTGGTTAAAAGGCTTTGTTTAAAAACTTTATAGCTAAAAAGACTTAAATTTGAGTAAGTGCAACTATGATATGTGAGTATAACTTTTTTTTCACTATGTGTAATATATTACCAATGATGCGTAACAATTATCAATACAAAATTGTTTGTATACAAAAAAAAAAACGTTGTATGTGCTCAAATTTTAGTCCTTTTATCTAATTAAATTTTTAAAGAGGGATTTTTTAACCAAATTTCTCTAAATCCTTTATACTCAACCTCTAACATTAGTAGATGATTTTTTTAATATTTTAAAATAATAAAAAATGTAAATAAATATGCACACTTTCACATCATAATTTTCCTAACTAAAAACATTTCATTATTTGTTTCAGCTGATATATAAAGACGCCCAACATATAAGCTTACACATACATGAAAGTTTCTAGAATTTGTTTCCCTAATATATAAGCTTTTTATTTTTGGTGATATATTAAGAGATTTATTTTTAGGATTTAAAACTGTGTGTGTATATAGAAGGATTATATATACACCCAAATAAAGTACTATTCTGGTTTTAAATGTAAAACCTATTTTGTAGTATAAATTACACTATAAAATATGTTTTATATTTAGAATCGGAGTAATATAATGTTCCATTTATTAAATTTAAAAACAAAGTATGTCATTAAAAGAAATAATATCTTCAATCCTAAATATTTGGTTAGGGGTTTTTTTCTTGTTGTAGTATTTTGTCTTCTGCAACTGTTCCTACTTATTATTCCATTGTATATATTAAAAGGACTTTGTAATCTCAATGCAAATTAAAAGAAGTATTTTAGAAAAACTAACACACATATTTTACAAGTAATTAGATTAACTAATTTTTTAATCCATATAAATTAATTATGTAGCTTCTACAAACGGAGGTTAGGTCTAATAGAAAGGGTTAGTCTTTTACAATATGGTGAATTAAGATTTGAATTCTTGCTGGAAGAAGTACTTATATTTAGTACCTGACAACGTCTTGAACATGATTGCCCTTTGATAGAATGATACCTATGCCTAAAAAAATACTCTTACAAATGATATATAAAAAAATTATAATGATTCTTCCTTCAGAGGGAAAGAAAATGGTTGTGCCTTAGGTGCAGAAGAATAGAAAGGGGACAAGACTCATCGTTACAAATCCAGAAAGCCAACGAAAGCACAAAACCACCACCCTGCATCAGCTTTAGCTTTTGTTTCAGTCCCATGAAACAGTATAAAATATTATCTCTAACCAGAAAGCACTCCTGATATAAATAGACTTATATATATATATATATATATATATATATATATTCACACACACAGACGCAGAGCAAGCATCATCTTTGAGTCCAAACAGTTACTTTTTTTGGGCTGCTTTTTGCACCGTCACTTGCTTGCCGATTTCAACAATCGTAAGTCTCCTTTCTCAAGTTTTCTTATATTCTTCCTTCTGGGGTTTGATCCAAGAAAGCTATGATTCTTGAAGCTTTAGTTGGTTAGTTTATTTATATAAGAATATCTGTGCAAGATGCAAAAACAAAAAAGGTGAAATTCTTCAGAATAGGAACTCCATTGATGCTTCCCTTGAGTTGTAATAAATCTTGGCTTCTCTAACATTGTTTCTTCAAGCAACAACAAAGAACCCAAATCCATATTCTGCAGAAATAATGAGTGAAACAGCTCGCCCTCGCTGGTTTTTTACCTTCTTCTACTTGACTCTTCTCTTCTTCTTCTTCAGTTCAGGTATTATTATTTTTTTTTTTGGTTTTTGATTCTGAATTCTCTGGTCTCTGTGGTAGCATTTTGTTTGATTTTACGTCTGTAGTTTCAAGCATTGATTCATAGCTTGACTAGTGAGGAAAATTTCGGTCATTAATTAACGAAGAGCAACAAATTATTAGTACTTTTTTGTTTAAAAAAAAATAATGAAATTGTTTTGTGAGTAAATAAATTGTTGTTCATTGAAAATGTTGTTACTTCAGAAATATTAATTGAGAGTGCTGGCAGTAATATCTTATATTTAAAGGTGTTTATAGGATCAATCTGAACTGATTGAACTTTTTTCAGGTTTTGATCATTTTATGTATGATTTAGATATTATTAAGTGATTTATTTCTTAAAATAATATAAATCCATTTCAAGAACATACTTATTTTTTTTCCAAAAAAGAAAAGTCTGATGAATACATTCATCACCCAAAACATCATCTCCTTGCTCATTCGATTCAATTTGGTGTTAATTGAGTCAACTAAATTGGATTTGACACATGAAAATTCAATTTTACCTTAAATTTAAAATTTTATTCTATTTAAATAATTGCTTATTTGATTCAGTTGTGAACACTTCTATTTACTTGTGCGAGGGAGGGAAAAAGACTAGTGCTTCTTACTTCATCACCAAATCAATTATTCATGCTACATTTAAGCCTCAAATTAACAGAAAAATATCTATACCTTAAGCCATGAATAGCTCCATATAGTTGTGATCTTTTGAGCAAAACTTAATCCATCAAGTCTAATCTAGTAGTATACTAATCCCATTGGGTTTCAGGTTAAGATAGAACTCAAACCCAGATTCAATCTTCTTTAGACAGTAACCTCTTTAGACTTCAAAAAGCAAGTCTTTGAAATCCTTGGTTTCTGTTTGCAGGTGTAGTAGTGACAGCAAAATTATTAACAGATGAAGAAAACCAAGAAATTTTCTCAAGATCTGACTTTACTCAATTAGATGATGTTCCAGTAGTGAACCCTACAACCCCAGGGACAGATAATCCATACCCCACAGTGAACCCAACAAATCCTCAAACACCAGACACAACAGGGCAAACCCCAACAATTCCTCAAACACCAGACACAACAGGGCAAACCCCAACAATTCCTCAAACACCAGACACAACAGGGCAAACCCCAACAATTCCTCAAACACCAGACACAACAGGGCAAACTCCAACAATTCCTCAAACACCAGACACAACTGGGCAGACCCCTCCAACAGTCCCAAACACAAACACAAACCCTAACCCTAATCCTCCTGCAACATCATCAGGAGGGGGTCAATGGTGTGTTGCAAGCCAGGGAGCTTCAGACACAGCTCTGCAGGTGGCTCTTGATTATGCTTGTGGCTATGGAGGAGCAGATTGTTCAGCAATCCAACCAGGAGCAAGCTGTTATAACCCTAACACTGTCAGGGACCATGCTTCTTATGCTTTCAATGATTACTACCAGAAGAATCCTGCTCCTACAAGCTGTGCGTTTGGAGGAACTGCAACACTCACTAGCACTGACCCAAGTAAGCATGCCACCACTCATAGATCTTTCTATGTTGTCATTTTCGGGGGAAAATTATATTTAAGTACTTAGTGTATATTTGGATAGTTTATATTTGAAGGCTAAACTATTTTCAAGTAGTCTTACCTTTAGAGAATCTATGAAGTAGGATTAGAATGTGAATAGAATCCTACTAAAAGTGGTTGGATTGAGTAGGAGAGACTTGGTATCCCTTAATCAAGTTCAAGAATTTGAACCTCGTGAATTGAAGAAAAATACATTAGAGAGCTACTTTCTATTTGGACCCAACAAAACAAATCTAAATTAGTCAATGATACTGAATACCAGATAGTTGTAAGAGGAAAAAGAAAGACTGTGAATAGAATCCTAGTAACAAGACCATAACATTTTAATTATTACCTTACACTGTTGCAGGTAATGGGAACTGCCGCTATGCAACTCCCAAAACACAAAGGTGAGAATCAATAGAACTTCATCTGGCAAGGAACAGAATTTGAAAAATGTGATTAACACTATACCTTATAATCCTTTCTTTCCCTCTCTGATTGCAGCATTAGTCCACCAACCTATGTAACTCCACCAAGTCCACCAAGTCCTATTATGACTCCAACTACTCCAACTACAACAATGGCTGGTGGTGGATCAACAGACTTTGGTTTGGAGCCAACAGAAAGCCCTAACTCAGCCACATCTCTTTCTTCTTCCTTGCTTTTGTTGTCCATCACATGTACCATCTGGGTCTTCCTTCTGGTGCCAAAGCACTACTAGATTGGAAAAAAGATTCAATTTTTCTTCGGGGCTCTGCCGCTCGCTTATCCACTCATTTTTCTTTATGGGAAGCAGAGAATCACATCAACAGTGCATATTTGTTATGGAAGAATTCTCAGTCAGGCTCAATCTATCGAAGATGAATAGATTAAATCAGTTATGAATAGAGAGATATGTATGCACGTCAACATTGGTTCAGACTGAAAAGTTTTGTCTGACATACGTATTTCTCTTTTTGTTTAATTGGTCTATGTGTCTTTTGGTATGTTAGGTCTAGTTAAGAATCTTCCTTTGTTATTTGAAGTTATGCTGTCAAAATTTATGCTATTTTTCATCGTTCAGTACCCTTTAGTTGATCATTAAGCAACAGAAGTTGTAGGATCAATCACCAGGCTGTTGAAGGCAATTTTCTGCAGTATTAGCGTAAAAATTATTGGATAATAGTTTTTCATTTAGAATTTTTGTAAGCCTCTGAAACCCATGTCATGTATCCCTCAGTTTAATAAATGAAGTACGTTAGTTACATTCAACAACTTACTAAAATCAAGTTGCAAAAATATCCTTACATGTCGAAAGTCTTGAACACTTCATTTATCTCTTAACTTTTCTTTTTTCACTTAACTTCTGTAGATTCTCGTCTAATCTTTTTTTTTTTTTGGTGCCTAATTTTTCATTTTTCACTTACCCCTCAACTTTTCTTCCAAAATAATGAATAATGATCATGAATTATGTTGTTCCTCAACGTTAAGTCATGAAGTCAAGAAAAATTGAGTTGAAAAACTGGATTTCACAAGTCTGACTATCGATTTTCTTTCTCCTTTGTCAATGGTTGTTTGGCCATTCAACAATCATCTGATCTCTCTGCCCTGGGTAAGCTCTCAACGTACTAATCATTCAATGGTGTAAAAAGCCACACATCCTCGGAAGCCCAACTTCAAAATTTGGAGTTACTTTCTGTATTAATATGATAAAAAGCAACCAACAAAAATTAGTTTAGTTAGTAAAGAGTCAGCTTATAATCTACAAAGTCGTGAGTTTGGATCCTGTTGCCAATGTGAGGATCTTGTTAGTAGGTGATTAAAAAAAAAATGATAAAAAGCAAGCAAAGCCTCCTGATGCCAAAGGAAAAGGAAAAAAAATTTAACAAAAAGCCTTCAGTTCATTCAGAAGTTAAATTATTTCATGGAAATATATGTTGTCATTTATGCAGATAGTTGAAGTGAGCAAATATAGGCAGCAGATAAAACTACTCATACAAAGAATAACATGACAACAATTATAAGAAATCTTTGTAGCCTAGGCTGGGTAGTGGTAGGTTAGCAACTCCTCTATTATTCTGTAAATGCTACAGCATCAGCCATATACACGTTTATGTATGCTTTTGTATCACTTTCTCATGGAAAACATGAATGCATGAATGTAGAAGGTCTAACTGGAAAACATCGCCGCCAGGCAGGGGCAAATTCTCCATGATCTCTAACACGAACTGATCACAGAAAAAAACTTTGATATTTACAGATTTCAAATTAGGATATGACACTTTCTCCAAGTATAATCTAAAGTGTTGCCCCATGGCTCAGACAAGAGTCGAATGCATATTGAACACTATACAACTTTATTGTTTAGATACTGATGCTTCATAGTTGAACCCAGAATTAAAAGTCGGTGCTTATCAGAAATCTGCCAGTTCCCCAAGCTGGGTTAGAGACTTATTTGCTGATGACTGTATCTCAGGTGAACAAATCTAAGATGACATGCTTGTCTCTGCCGCCTGAGAAATCCTCTGGCTTTCTTTTCTTGTTCTAAGCTGAATATCAATGAGGAAGTAACACTTGTTCTGTTCTCTTACATAGTGGACATGGCCATTCATCCTAATGAGGATTTTTCTGACATGTATAGCCCTAGACCTTCCTGTGTAGTCCATTTATTCCCACCTTCAAACATTTCCTGAAGAATTTCAGAAGGAAGACCTTGACCGGCATGGGTCATTCTGCATGGACAGGATAACAAAATGAGACCTTATTCTCTGTAAACACAAATATATATGTTTCTTAACTGTCACTTTAGAAAAATGATGGCTTTAATCAAAAAATTAATAATAATGATAAGATTTAGATTATTGACACCAACTTTGAACTGTCTCAATTAGATCTAGACAATGTAGATGAGAAGTGCATATTCTACACATTTTTAAAGATTTGTAGAGTATCTGCACTTGCATCGAACAAAGAATTCCCCCACTTTTACAACCCAGTATCATTCGGAAATTTTTATTATTTCAAAAATATTTCTTCTTTGTAAAATTAAATGTTTGTTCATTTGTTTCCAAGTCAAAAGTATATAAATGGGGGCACAGATGTTATTTGATATCAGAGTTTGATAACACGAAATTGTCAAATCATTTATTTTCTTGAATATTTATTTTAGATTCTCCTGTGAAATTACAAAATTTTCCCCGGTGATTTTGTGAAACTGCTAAGAAACATCTTTTAGACATTTGATTTTTTCAGCCTATCTTAGAAAAATGTTTCCACGGGATATTTTCCCTTCAACCTCACCAAAAGCATTTTCACTTACATTTTCAATGAAAATGAAAACAGAAAGTATCAAACCATATAGACTCGATATATCTTGAACTCAGAACTTTGTTATATAATATGATAGCAAATCTCTTAAGCGGAGAAGCATTAGCAACCAATTAACCACCTGTGCTGATCATCATATCAAAACGAGGGTCAGTTTGTGTACCTGAACTGCAGATGAATAAACTCACTTCCATCCTGTATTATCTTCAGCCCAGGTGAAATCTTTATTTCTACCCAGCCATTGGGAGATGGTGTGGTGGCAAACCAAATTGATCAAAAAGTTAGACAAGACCACTTGAAGCCTTATTTGGTCACCGAATAGAGTAAGCGTTTTAATTTCATCAGGAATTTCATGAAAGAGCTGCAAGTTTCTTTCTCTTATCAAGATCATGACTTGGCTGACAATGGCATCTAGGATATTTCCCAGAAAAAACTCTTCTATTTTTAGCTGCAAAGTTCTGCAATATTAGCATTACATGTGAGAAGTTTGGAATACTAATTGTCTTTATACAAGTATTTACATAAATAAAATATTGCAGTGCTAAGTAGATAATGATGCCTTAAACATCAGTGATAAGTAGTGATGAAAGGAAAGCACAATCTTATACAGAGAGTCCATGTAGGGTTAGAGAGCAACAAGAGACACTCACCCTTCATCAATACTTCCAAAATCCGCATCCTCAATAATTGTCATAATTTGTCTCTCACAAGCATCACTAGTATCAAGAAATTGTTTCTGATTTTCTGAGACAGCTGTATTTTGCAGTAATTTTTGTGCAAAACGCAAACCATTTAAAGGATTCTTTATCTCTTGTAATA